CTTTTTTTTTTTTTTTTGTCGAGGCGCTATTTCATTTTTTTTACTTTTTGTCTACCTTGATACCCCATCAGCGCAAAAACTACCATAAACTAAAAAAAAAAAATAGTGGGCATACAACGACAACGCACCCACTGGGACCCGAGTCAAGGCAAGAACAACTAACTACTAAAAGGGGAAAAAAATCATGTTCGCATACACAGACAGAACGCCTCCATCGAAAGAAATGAATCATGCGCTTTTTCTGCGAGTCTCGTTGTGCGTCTGTCAAAAGCCACAAAGGAGGAAGACAATCAGCGCCTACACCACTCCCCTCCCCTTCCCCCACCACCCCTAAAAAGAAAAAAAGAAAGGTTTCTTGGGCGCGCGCGCGGTCGCCCAAGCGATGTCCTTGGAAGGGTATGCGATTGTAGCACGTTTGTCCCCCGGTTGTGCCCCTGTCTCAAATGCCACGGTCCGTTTCTCCCAAGTGCCCGTCTTATCTTCCCGAGTATCAACTCCGCAGTGATTCTGAATCATTCCGATGCTTTCCAACGTTGCAAAACTGTTAGACGAATATTTGCGCAGAAGTATACTCTGTTCGCAGAACTATCTACGGCGCTAAAATTCAAAAGCGCCGAGTTGGATTGGGGAACTCGTGTAGGTTTAGCTCATCGTTGGAACATTCTTATTCGCTCGATGAACTCCACAAAACGTGTAAATATTAGAATGAACTTTCCAGAGAACGAGAGTTGTTGTCGGGGTTCCAGGCGACCGGACAGGTCGCAATTATTGGCTGATTAAAAATTTTATTTCATAATCACAATCGTATCATCAAGGGCACGCCATTTCCTCATCACTTCTTCTACGAAAAGAGTTGCTGTATTCGTAGCACACACAGACGGAAACGGTTGAGACTGCCCAAATAATATCTTCTTTTGGCAGGTACTGCGCAGCGATTACACACAATGCCTCTAACATAAACATGCTGCTCCACATGTCTATTCACAAGATGCAATACATCGTTCTCCCAACTTTGTTGAAATGGGCATGAAAGCGCGTAACCGTCACTTTTTTGAAGTTCTACTTAGAGGTGAAGTGTTTACCGTAAAAAGTCGTTAATTATTTATTTTTTTCCGTTTACTACAAAGCTCGATTCCCTTAAATTTTTGTTTTTATATCGTCTCTACAGCGCTTTTACGTCGGTACTTTCGTGTTAGAGGACATCACATAATGTGCGAAAAAAACAACAAAAAAAAACGGTAGGGTCGATGCTGCATAGCCTTTTTTTTTTTTTTTTTGTGGACATCAAGAAAAAAAAAAAAGATAGTAGTTGTCTTCACTTCGCACTGCATGTTTTGGCACGGAAGTTCCTATTTGGTTATGATGTCTTTACTTTCTTAAAAATTATATACAGTAATTTAAATTACCGAATTACAAAAACGTCGAAATTGTATAATTGCTTTTCGTTGGGACGCCATGACGACAGCGACACTCGTGTTCCCTCGTGGTTTTCGCCAGCATTTCTACGATGAATTGCCAGGATCGCGAGATGCAACAGCGTGACACTCCGTCTTCTGTGACGTCATTTGTTGCACTTCGGGACAACTTTTGATGTATGGCCAGCATAAGACGCTAACCACACCAGTCGGAGACGCGCTGCAGGTGCCATAGTACTGCTCGTAAAAGTAGCTGTCACGTGCTTTGCTCCGCGACTGAGGGTTGCCAAATTACGGTGAAACGGAGTATAGACAAAACAGACTGGACGACATTTACCGGGCATCTTTAGAGCTGCGAAGCTCAAAATCACGCGTACTCATAAGATTTTTTTTTTCTCGCGTGTTTGTGATTTTTATGATGTCCTGCAAGCAAGAAAAAAATATATATGGTGAGGTCACTCCGAGGGGGTAGCGATAACTGCGAGCCACGAACATGAAGGACTCGCTAACATCCGTCAGGAGTGTGAACGGTAAATCGTCACGCAAACATATTCTCACAAGCTGCAAATATTTATTTGGCTTAGGAAGTAGAATACTAGTATACTAACGACATGTAATTATTGTACACAAGATACCATTTCTCGGTTCTTCAAAACCATTTCCAAAGTCTGAACGGTCGCGCTACGGGCCGCGGCTAGCCGTGCCCTCGATAGACTACGGAGCTGCGTTGTGTCGTCTGCTACTGTACCGCCAACAGGAGAGCGATAGCTCTGTGTGTTCCACAGATGCGTGTTGCGGTATAACTCTGTACGTCTGTCCTAGAGGAAGACAAAGAGATAGGCTCTGTGACCCCCTCCTAAGCTAACAAAAACAAACAGAAGTATACTCGTTTGGACTGAAAGGTTTACAAAATAGTGACCAGACATTGGAAAAGCATATGTCACAGAACTTGGTTTATGAAATGGCATCATTGTTTCGAGCAAGAAATCACCTGCTCACCACTGGGACGATGAAATCGTCACTATTTATTGCGCCAGGTATATTTGCGCTCATGAAGAAAAATCTGAACACATCCTTCTCCCAAAGTCCTATGTCGAATAATAAACACTTTTTTAAACATCTATGCACAAATAACTCATTTTTTTCTACACTTGTATATGCACGTTAATTGACGTCAAACCGCATTTTTGATTAGATCTTGATGTCTACACCAACTACATTCATATTTTTTAGGGCTTTATTGAACGATAACTTCAACTATAGTTAATGGAACACGATGGCTCGATCTCGACAAAAACCTCAACGTGCGAAGCTTCCACAGACGGTCGCTAGCGAGTATCCTCAATGTGAGACTTCAGAAGCTTTCGCTTGCCATAGGGAGCTTGCTTTCGACTACAGCACTGCACGGGCCCGGAAAGCGCTGCTGTGTGGAGAGGTTGACTTACAAGATGACGTGTTACGTGGTCACGTAAGATGGCGTCATTTCGTGCAGCGTGATCACGTAAGATGACGTCATTTCGTGTAACGAGATCATGTAAGATGACGTGTTTGTGTCACGTCATCACGTAAGATGACGTCAGTTCGTATGAACTGACGTCATCTTACGACAACGCCAACAACACTAGTGCCGTCCGGAACCATTGACCTTAGAAACGCGCTTCTTCGCTTGAAGAGCTGATATGCGTTGATTGTTATTTGTTTCTTTTGCCTACTACAGACCATTCAAGAACTCGCCTTCTGGGTGCCACCAACTTCGTCTACTGGGCTGTGAAGCGCGTTCGAGCGTGCGCAATACCTCTCTAGGCCGAAAGATTGTACACTGAGTATGCGTTCACAGCTCAATGACTTTGGCATTTTTCGTCAGGATAGATGCTCCCACGAGAAGAGCGTAATGGATATGTGAATAGAATTGGAAATTTGAAATGTTCTTGTCCAATCGCATTTTTCTTTGGTTATCAACGCTTTTTAGCGTCATCACAAAACGTTCAACCCATAATACACTGGTGATTAAAAAATAAGCACCGAAAAACATGCACCGATTTTCGCTCAAAAATAAACACCGAAAAAAAACATACCGTAATCATTACCCATGTCACCTTTTTGGGTGATATGTGAATTTCCAGAAGAACAGCGAGTTATCACCCTCCCCTAGGAATACCCTGACTACAGAGCAGGCGACCCGTTTTTCCCCGCGTTAGATTGTGGTGACCAGGAACCGTACGGAGGTCACAGGACGTCCGTGAAAAATAAAAAGGAGGCAAACAACGATCTACTCTGTGCACGCTTCATCCCCAATTTCCACGACCCCAAGGCCGAAGGACGTTTGTGTGAAGGATAACAATAAAATAAAACTTTGCGTCAAAAAAAAAAAAGCCCGTTTTTAAAAGAAAAAAAAAAAAAAGTAGAAACAAGCACAACGCGTTGACGGACCGCGAGGTTGTGGAACACCTCGCGGTCCGCTTGCCACAGGACGGTTGTCTTCGACCCATAGCTCCAAGGTGAATTTGCCACTTGCGAAAACACGGAGACCTACCCAGCGAGAACCAGGAAAGCAAGACACGCACACTGACGCCTCGGCGTGCAGAATGAAACAGAATACGGGCGCGGAACACGGCCGCGGAAGAACACCTCGCACAGTGCCGATCCGGCCGATCTCCGAACGGACGATTTCGCATTTCGTGGACAGCGAGCGCCACCGCACGGGAGAGAGAGGTACCTTAAAAACGACGAAAACAAGCACCGACACCTTGGTTCTTTATATTTGCTGTAGTTACGGAACAAATCGACTTACATGAATAATTTGAATATTATTCGATTCCGTAATAAATTTAGAAGACATTAAACGCAATTCTTCTTATGTTTGAATTTAGATAATTTTGTAAATTCGCTCCGAACGCAAGAGTGCCGAATTAGCCGATTTTGACCATTTTCATGATTTTTTTAAAGAATATAATTAAATTTATGACGAAACATCTGTTGCGTTTAGTGACTCGATAATGACTCAATGTCTTTAAAGCCGAAATTTTCAAGAAGATCCGCGCAGCCGTTATTATGTGAGAATTTTTTTAATTTGGTGAAAAACCTCATGTATTCTCTATGGGGCTCTGAGGTGCGCCCCCTCTTAAAAAAAGGTCGCTGCCCATTTCCATATACTCCATACGTACTTTGTTTGAATTTTTCACACAAGTTTCTTTAAAAGACTGTTGGTTTATATATTAAAAAAACTATGGTATTTACTCGAGTAATAAAGACATTCCTTATCAAATTTACCCAAGGCCTTTCCTCTGCAGAGCAGTGATACTGTTAATAATCATGTTTTATATAAAACATAACAAATAAGAGCAAGGTCTAAAAAACGACTTCCCGCAAGAATAAGGTCTGGGCTGATACCGTTTCGACCGAAGAGGTTATGTCTGTGTCGTAAATCGCAGCTTGTTCTTCCGATTGCCATGATTGGCTACCTATGTGCTCCATAAAAACGTGGAAGCACAGACTTTGTTCATAAGCAAGTACGTTCATCACTGGAATAAATCCGATATTGGGCATGCCAACACACGCAAGAACACCTAAATTTTTTCAGCTTACCGAAATTCATCTTTTGTGATTCTTCGTTTTTGATACTTTCCCTGCACAGGAAAAGGTGCAGTAATTTGATTTGAACAAAACTTTAACCATTCCTACTATATTGTCACGAGTGACAGGTGATGAGGCGGCAAATGACTGAGTAAACTGAACGTTTAATAGGGCGAACGTGTGCCCAAAATTAAAAATGAAACCGAAGATAACAGCAGAGCGTCGCGGGCGTCGAAGTCGGCGTAAGAGCAGAGTCGAACGCTGGGGCGAGCCTGACTCCGGCTCGCCACGCGGGGCCCCTTTTGTACCCGCGTGGACTTCGGGAACAATCTGCCTAGAAGATTCGGCGGGTAGAACATTCTAACCTAGAACAAGCGACACGGTTCTCGAAATTGCCAGAAATCTAAATTGAAAGAGTAAATAAAAGACGCGGCGCTCCCAGGACTCGAACCCTGGGCTACCGCACGAGAGTCAAGTGCGGTAACCACTCGGCCACGCACGCGCTCGCCAATGGGCGCTGCAATATGTCGCTTACAACTAGGCTGGTGTAAATATGACGATCAATTTCTATTTGAGTAAAATAACTTTCTTGCTAAAAGCTTGTAGTCGCCTTATGCCATGGCCATATATACCATAAATGTTCGAATAAATGGTTTATACGAATGCAGAATTATGTAGTCCGAACTCTCGAAGAAAACAACGTGACTTCCCTCGATGTATAATATGTAGTTAGGGGTCTTATATTGACGCCAAAGTTGGGCTATTATGTAAAAATGGTGTCACCTAGAATGGACGTATTTGCTCCCCTTTTCACGGAAACTGCACAGATCGTTAATGTAGCAAAAATTATTCTTTATAAGAGAATGTTATCCCGCTGCGCCCTGGTATCTATGAAGGTCGACACTATCCGTTGGCACTGAGTGAACACATTTTACACTTGAATATTCGCAAAAATTGCTTTGCTTTCATCTTGAAAGCCTGATAGGCTGGAACATCTACAACTTATTATGCTGATCTATTTTACTCACTAATAAGTTTTCATTGTCTCTAAAGCATAAATATCTTATAAATATAAAACACAAATTATTGCCTTATCACCTTGTTTTACGAACACCAAAAAAGTAAAAAACTTACGTAGTAAGAAAGAGCAGAGCATCAATGTTTTTTCTATGATGCTTTCCTTTCATTTTTTTCGCAAATCTTTTCACATAAACTCCGAGTATTGGCTCAAGTAGCTCGGCGTCCAGAACATTCTTGTTACGGGAAGCGAGTGCTCTATAGGCGTCCTGCAAATAGACAACTTAAAAAAAAATCACATGAAAAAAAAATACACTTACTCTAAACAGACTTGAATCTACAAGATAAAACTCCACATGAAGCACATTCTTTTTTTCCTGGTTGAGTAGTATTTCATTGATCTGAAAGAAACGAACAAGATGTGGTGTAATTCGTCAAACTGCTTTGTCTTTAAGTATTATATTAAATAAATAATGTTTTCGAAAGGTAACGAAGCACATAAAGAACTAAAAATAGGATTTCCCTAAATTTTTTTGTCGTTAATGCATAGCTGTGGTCTGACGGGAGTGGTACTCGAGGTGCGTAAATGCATCATTATTATTTAATAAACAGGGTGCTCCTTTTTTAGATTAGCAGACTTGTTTAAAAATAGCCATGAAAGCTACACTAATGCGGCTTATCGTTGAGCTTCACTTATCGTTGAGCAATTCGGCCAGGTGGACATATTATAAGGCGCTAATTATAGCGATCAATCGCCTAATTAAGTAAAATATGTTCATAAGCTTTTTAAGCAGTAAGAACAGACATATGTTTTCAATTAGAAACTTGCTGCGCGTCATCAGAAACCACTAAGTATACTACAGAAAGACTGAGCGCTCGAGAAGCTCAGAAGTGTGCTAAATTTACCACTTGTGGAGCAGGTGCGATAAGGCGTCCGCGCGACCGTTTCATCACTTATCATAGCCACATACTTGTACCTGTCACGAATAGTACGCGCTCGGGCTCAAAATGATTTAAAAAAAATCATTTTGTGGTTTTAGATGACGCTCAACAAGTTCCTCATTGGAACCATGTGGCTTTTTTAGTATTTAAAAAATTAAAGCCGTTTACAACTCCCTGTAACGCCGAATTAGAGCGCAGGTCTTGAGGAGGATGGAAGGGTACTGAGGGGAGCGCATACCCCAGCGTTGCATACCCCTCCTCCCTCCTCCTCACCTCTTCATCTTGCCCACTACTCCTCCCGCCGAGCGGCGTCGCCATCGCCGTCGCCGTCGGCGTAACCGCGAGATCACGTGACCCTCGTGACCCCATGGGGGTCACGTGACCTCAGGAAGTCATGGGACGTCACCGGGGTCACGTGACCTCACGGAGGCCAAGTGACCTTACAGGGGTCACGTGACCTTACGATTAGGCCGAGGGCGACGACGACGCCGCTCAAGCCGGAAACAGGCGCGTAAGAGCTGCACTCTAAAAGTTAATTAACAAAGTGCATTCAAATAGAACACTGATCGTTACGACTAGCCCCCTATACTATGTTACCCCGGCTTTATAACTCACCTGAGCAGACCGCATAAATCTAGCTTTCACGGCTTTCTTAAACAAATCTGGTATCATGGCCAAGAATCCGAGACATTCGGTTTAATTCCATTCCGCGACGATATGTGGCGCCTAAGCCCCGAGCGAAATCACTTTTTCAATTTCCAATGTGCCCTCTGTTTCCGCCCGCACCGCCAATCTTATCTTCGAATCCGGGGAGGAGACATCGTAATGCAGTAAGGGCATAGCACTGATAACACGCTCAAGACAGCTCCGAACCTCGGAACCTCTCAAGGTCACAGCTGGGCGCGCCTAGCGCAGACGTGCAATGTGTAATTGCTTCTCCCGCAGCCAATGTGCATTTTAAAGTGATAAGTTAACGCTCAAGACTATTGCTCCATTGCTAAAAAGCCAAATTTAAACCGAGCAAAGTTGAAGCTGTACTTCGTCTCACCTTAGCATGTACTGGCCCCGGAGGCTGCTCCAGCTTGACACGGTAGCCTTCATTGGCGTTCGCGCCACACGAGCCCTCGTGCAGCCGCCGAGGTGTCGTCGAAAGCAAATAGCTCGCGCTTTTAGCACGCGACCAACAATAGCCCATGCTAAGGTTAGACGAAGTATTGAAGCGCGAGCCGAATCCGCTGCGTTTTCCTACCTCGCACGGGCGGTAGTGCATCGGACACAAGGCAAAACGATGCTAAAAGGGCTCTGTTTCAGGCTGGGCTTTCTCTTATCACTGGAGCCTGTTAGAGAGGGTCTTCTGGCTTAGGGCGCCTTGGCTCAGGCTAAACGTTGTCTCACCTCAGCATGGACTATTGTTAGCCATGCATGCTAAAGGCGCGAGCCGTTTCCTTTGAATCACTCCTCGGTGGCTGCGCGAGCGCTCGGGCAGAGAGTACTCCAGTCGAGTTTGTCAAGGCTAGCCGCTCGCCCTTGCACAACCTTTTCAGTAGTACTTCGCAGTCTCACGCTAACATGGACTAACCACGGAGGCTGCGCTAGCGTGAGGTGGCAGCCCTGACTGCGTAGATTTGCATCCTCGCAGCACGAGTGCTCGCGCAGCTGCCGAGGCGTCACCCATAGTGATTACCCCGGGCTTTTATTGCGCGTGGTAGCTAAAAGGATACAATTATAGCTTTGCCCGTGATACGGTGGAATATGCAAGTCAGCTATTTATTTGTCTGTTTGTAAACAAGCTCACTATAGTGGGTGACAGCTCAAGAGTCCAGTGAAAGCTCCGCCTTCAGCGCGCGCTCCTTGCTTTCCGCCGCGCTTTGGCTGCGCGTGCCCACTTGTGCTATCAAGGCCACAAAGCTCGTGCTGGAAGCGTAGCTTCCACTGCACTCTTGAGCTGTCACAGACTATAGAGTCCACTATTGGCGAACCCCTGCGCGCTTCCGTATTCGAACTCCTTTCCGTTTTGTTCCACGTAATTTTGCTTCCTGTACAGCTCGCAAGTACAAGGGTCGTTTGATAAGTTTGGTAAATTTATACGATGAACAATTCAATGGATGACGCCATGGCTGGCAAGTGTCATTCTTCAAACTAACCCAGGCTAGCTTCCAGACGGGAGCGAAGCGCTGTTCATGTTTGACAGACGGCTGAAGCAAACACTGTAGCGCTTGCCACAACACTGGAGAGAAAAAAACAGCCCTGTGCAATGATCATGCACGTTTGTTTTAAAAATGTTAACGTCCACGCATCAAAACCGAGTTGCATTAAGTTCATGGGGACCCTTATTCAACGTGGAAGGCTGTTTAGCTCTGGGTTCATTGGATTAAACGTGGCAGAACGTTCCCTGAAGATGAAGCGCGCTCCGGACGCCGAGTTGAGGTCACCACGACGAATATTGTTGAATAAATTTATAATATATTAATTGGAGGACAGTCGAGTGAATGTGCACGAGACTGCTGAGACCATAGGCATCTCAAAATAACGTGTGCACAAAACCCTCTACAAAAAGCTATGTGCGCGATGGGTACCAGCACCACCTCCTAGATAACAAGGCCGTAATGGTGATAATTTTTCGCCACAGAAGAAGGCCGATCGCGGGCCGTGATTGGACGCGAGGGCTGCGTCAGCGTCTCGTGTCTAATCAGAGAGACGGACGCAACGCTCGTATACAATCACCGCCCGCGATCGGCCTTCGTCTGTGACGAAAAATTATCAGCACTACGGCCTTGTGATCTAGGAGGTGTTGCATGGTACCAGACTGTTCATTCACCAAGACAACGCGCTCTCTTACGAATTGACCGTGACAATGGCAAAGTTGGAAGAATTGGGCTTCGAGTTGATTCTTCATCCACCCCATTCTTCTGATATGGCGTCGTGTGTTTTATCAGTGTTCCCGAACTTGAGAAATCTGACTCCGTCGGAAAAAGTTATCATCAAATGAGAATGTCAATACTCCCGTCAGTTCATATTTTCTAGCCTTTAAGAGAACCTCTTTTTCTGAGAGAAAGAAAATTTAGAAACTCCCTGGACCAAGTGGATAGTCCTCAATGGGGACTATGTTGAGAAACGACATAAATTTTGTCTACTAACAAAGCGTTTAACCAGCTTTTTTTACCAAACTCATCAAACTACCCTTGTATGCACGTTCATATAGAGGTATAACTCGGAACACGAAGCACGCTTTGCATTAGAGATGGACAAATAAGCGCTTTACCAGAAGTCTACTGGGGCACGAACCACCCTGGCGCCCTTGTAATATCAACTCACGCCGAGCGCGATGTGGTACAGATAGAGACGGTACCTACGAATGGTTGGACTACACCGAGAAGGTCAGCAGGAGAAGCTCCGTCTCCACCTCGCGCTTGTCATTCTTCGTAAGTTGAAGCGTTACCAAACTTAGAGAGCTCGAGCCGGAGTTGGAGCTTCCCCTGCTGATCATATATTGTAACAAACTGAATAATATGCAAGTTTTTGCAAGTCGTGTTTCCAGGTTCAGCAAAAACTCTGCAAGCAGCCTTGAAATTGTGGTAACCCACATGATTTTAAGCCCGTGTCGAAATCTGACTAAATTGTCTGATAGACACAGAAACATCTGTAAGCTCTGCAGTTGGTAATATTGTGCAAGGGAGAGAAAGAGGGATACTATATGGTGCAAATAAATAAATAATTATATGCTAGTTTGCCCATATATTTTATGCCTTCAGCGAAGGCGAGGGACCCGCAACATTTCCTGTTTGATTCCTGGTTTTCTGAGAGTCCCTAACCGAGTGTGCTAGCGCCTGGTAGCTCGGGGCATGTGGAGAGCAGAAAGATCAGGCTACAAAACCCCGGAAATTTTGGGTTCGTCTCCACCAATCAGGATGAGCATCGTACCGGCACGTGTTTGAGTTGCACAGGCTGAATTTCTCGGGTACAGCGTGAGCCAGTATCACCACCTCTCAAACGGCACACATATAAAATTTTTATACCCTTATTTGTGTAAATGGCCTGTCCTATAGGGAGCACCCTTATTCGTGTAAGAAAACACCTTAGAAAAAGGGTGTAATGTCTCACACCCTCAAATAAGGGTGTTTGGAAAAGTACGCGAGTAGCGAAAGCGGCCGATTAAATGCGCGGTTGCGGGCGTCAGTGACAGCATACAACGCATTAGCGTGTGGGCTTCATGTTCTTATCATACAAAAACGGACTAATAAAAAAAAATGTTTCCGTCAGGTGGAGTTGAACTAACAACCCCTCGATAACGGCTCAAGCATCCAACCCACTACACCACCCTCAAGATGCAGATTTTGTGTTTTACTCCTGCTACATAAGTCTTCCTTGCACATTTAGACTTCGAGTGTTTTTTTTTTTTTTATTTTCGTTAATTTCACATTTTCACGAGCATTCCTAGGACTACTTATACGCCCCTTTT